TATAAACAAAACAGCATCATGTATGTATGCGGACAGGGCGGAAAGCCAATCACACAGAGTACATTTTTCATTTAAAAACATGAGAAACCGGCCATAAAGTCTCGATATATGTTTTTTTCAAAGTTAAACTTGCATTATTTTTACATGGCTTTCTAAACATGCGGCTCTTTTGTGCGAGACACGAGTGCAATGGTGATAGATGTCCTTCTAGAAAATGCGCGAAATATGCGTTCTGTGTAAACAGCTTGGTTTCAGTTTTGATGTAAACAAGATCTTCTCCGCACTGACGTTTTCTTTTTCCACAATATTTTTAATGAACAATGCATCAGCGCCGCATCTAGTGGCTTCAACTGGATAGGCTAACAAAAACATTATAATACAACGACACTTACATCGTCATCGCATCTCCTGCGCCACTGATAAGGCTGCCTCCTTAACGCACACCTAAAAAATTTTTACAGCCCTAATATATTATATATATATATATATATATATACATATATACATACACACACACACACACACACGTGCAAATTGTTAAACATACTTTTTGTATTCATGTTGGTTTTGGTTCTGAAAAACTTGACGTTTTTAAACTGATATAACTAACAACTTCATTGAAAACATTTTTCTAAGAAATAATAATAAATGATTCTGCCAAACTACTTGGTTTTCTTTTTGAAGAACATGATTAATTTAATCATTTTCTGATGCATTCTCATTTTTCATTCTGATAAACTCTTAAAAATATAGGTTCCAGAAGATGATTTTGACAAATATGACATAAAAGAACCATTCTGGGTTCCCCAAAGAACCTTTCAGTCAACAATGATTCTTAAAAGAATAATCTTTTTCCTTTTGTGCAATGGAAAGGTTATATGAATGTTCAAATGTTCTTCGTATAACTACAGATGCCAGAAACTTTATTTTTTAAAAATGTATCAAGATTATGGACTTTGTGCCTCCAAAACACAAAACAGCCTCATTCTAGTAGAGTTGTATTCAAGTCATTGTACTCATGAATTGCGTTTTAATTAATATATTCCATTAATTAACGGAAAGAAAAATATGAAGAACATCAAGGCATTTACCCATGCACAACTGTCTGTCTTCATCGAACTATATGAAATGAAGGTGAAATTCCATCTAACCTGTGAGAAGGTAGGACTGGAGGTGGGTGAGCTTTCTGCCTTGGCATCTTTGACAGTGCTGTTGGACTGAGAGGAAGACCTGGTGACCAGACCAGGACTGAACACATCATCCATAGTGCTTACAGACGGAAGCGTGCTCTGGGCCCTCTCCCACCCTTCCTCTGAGGAGGACATGGGAGCAGGAGGTGTTGGGGTCACACTAATGGCCACAGGGGTCACGCTGATGGGAACGGGGGGAGGAGGGGCATGAGGTTTGGTGATTCTCTGCTGAACCGGCCGTGAGGGAGGCACATCCTCAGACTCCCTCGCCCCAGACTCTGATCTCAGGTACGACGGCAAAGGCTTCTCTCCTTTCTCCAGAGACTTGATCTGGCTGGGTGTCAGAGACTGAAACTCCGCCTTCTCGCCCTCTAGCCGCGAGCGTTCGGCGCTGATCTTCCAGAAGGACGACTCGTCAGTGCTGGGCAGCTTGGTGCTCTGAGAGGGCTTGGGTTTGGATTCGTTCACTGAGGAGGGAACGGACGGTTCTGGAGAACCGGAGATGATGCTGAATTCCATCTGACTCTGTTGGGATGGACGGGCTGAATCACATTTGTTTGCTCTTTGCTAGCAAAATGAATATGTATTTTTAGCAGAGGTGGCCCACTTACCTTGGTCTCCCAGGAGAAGGGAGCGGAGTGCTCATCTTGCCATGTTAAGTCCTTGAAACAAAAGTGACTGAGATGTTAACAGGCCATAAGATGTGACAATACTCCTTTAATCTGCCATTTCTATTTCATTGAATAGGGATAAAAATACAGTAAGCCAGCCTATCACAAAATATAATAAATAATTTAAATTTAAAGATGGTGCACAGATGTTTAATAAGTGGTTCATAGATACAGCTTTCATAAACATTAACGATATATAGAATTCTAAGAGATTTGTTTGGAAAGCGCTTATTGATATTTGTTTGGCAAACTTTTTTCTTTTATTTTTTTTACTTTTTATCATCAGTTTACAAGCCAGATTAACTGTATTGCAAAATTTAAACCAGAATTTATAGAAGTGGCAAAGATTTATTTAAAATATTTTATAAATATTTAGTAAATTGATTAATTTAGAGAAATTTCACATTTATTTTGTTGACACTTACATTGGTTTGGTAGCCTGTTTAACTGTAGATATTCAAAAAGTATTTTAGTCAAGTTTAAATTTGAGATATAATTGACAGATTTGTTTAGTAAACCGTTTATTGTACAGACATTTGAAATATCTGACAATAGCTGTTTACTAGAATGTGAGAGATGTTACGTACTGAATTATAAATAGTTCATTTACTTTAAATAGTAATTTAAATAGAGATTTAAGTAAACAGTTTAACAAATAGGACAGACGTTTAACAAGTGAAAAGATGTAACTTAAATTTGACTATTGTTGAAGATAACACTGCTTATCTTAGCAGCTGGTTTAATGACATTTTTGTTTAGTAAACCATTTTATTTAGACCTACATATTTGGCACATTAACAAATAGGCTAGGCATAATATTATTATATATTATATAATGTAATTGTTTTGTATAGACAAGCCCTATATTACTAGAGATAATCACAACAACAAGTCTACAATGAAATAGCAACAACAGCTCTAATTTAACACCTGACGATCCAAACATAAGCACCTCGTCTCCGGAGTGCACGGTCTTCTGTCCGGTCTGGAGCAGTAGTTTCGGGAAGCAGATCAGCTCTTCTCGCTCCAGCCGGTGCATCGCGTACCGAGCCCGGATCCGCGGGTCCAGCATCCCGTTGTCTATCGCCGTGTCCTGTTCGACCGGACTCATCTGATCCCAAGTCAGACCGTGCCTCTCCTTTATCTTCTCCCTTTCCTCCATAATCTTACGAGCCATAGAGTTGATGGAGGAGAAATATTCCATCTTTTTGGCCTCCGTGAGGAGCAGGTGATCCGCCATTTTTCTCAACAGCTGGACAACGAGCGCCGACGTCACAAAAGACTTTTATTCTGTCACGCGTCATAATCTCTTTAGATTCAATATGAAACTGCTACTAAAGCAAAACAGTGATTATAATGATGCTGAGAATGTGTAGTTTGAAAATTGTGTCATTTATGTTGGTGCAGGGCACCTGTGTTATCTCTTCTACTCATTTCTAACTGTTTCTCCTCCTAATCTGATCCAAATCGCTATAAAATATAGCATTCTCTGTAGAATTCAAATGCGTCTGATATATTTTGTGGTATGCACGACTTGCATATGATTCGCTCCGTGATATCGTGTCTCTGGACAGGAGCAGACAGTGTGCGTGACACAATGCAAAACCAGACTTCTTTCGACCCAATGGAAAGCATATTTACACTGTCTGAATCATTCCTTATCCCCCATATAGTGCACTACATGCCATTTAGCATAAAGAAAATACCAATTCTGTGAACAAGTGACCTATTTCAGCCGCAGTTTCAGCGTCTATTTATAGTGTAGGGGGCGGGACATTTCAGATTCTAGAGAGCATTTAATTGGACAGAAAATTTGATGAGAAGCTGAAGTACGATGTGACATCAAAAATATCGTTGAGCCGTTTTGGCAGAAGTGATGAACTGCAAGCTTTGAATGCTTATATCTTCTAAATGCGAATTTTGTCACTGTTTTGGAGCACACTGCCTTATAGATAACATTAAGACTAACATGTTGATACTAACAGCCAAAAAACTTTAATTTTGATTTCATGGTGACTTTAAGTTTCCCCGGAACATTCAATGACGTCACTAAACGGTGACGGCACAATTATATAGGCTGTGTCCGAAATCGCCCCCTATACCCTCATTCACTAGCGGAGGGGGTTCAGACCCACCGGCAGCCGCGGAGAGGAGGACCTCCGGTCCTCGCGCCGACGAGGCGCCGCCCTCCCGCCCCCCCCAACCCCCCCCCGGCGGGGGGGGGGGGGGGGGCTCTCCATTGACTTTATATTGCGGGAAGCTGCCTCCTTGTCATTTCTGACTTATAACCAGTGCTTAATTTGTAAATGAATAATTGCCGGATCCAAAACCACAATTAAAAGGCGCTGTGACCGACACTGGAAATACAACTTAAAGGTCCCCTGAAACGCTTAAACACGCAGCGTTACTCTGTGTTGACGTCATTTTAACTGAAACAGGAAGACAGGGCGGGACATATCAAGAAGCCCCGCCCCTTTTTTTAAATAGCCAATAGTGAATTCGGACACTGAGTGCACCGGAAGGAATGCCGCTTTTGCATAGTTTGTGCTTGCTGTTTATTAATCATTTGAAACTAGCAAACTAGCAGCTCCAGTAGTAAGATTAAAGGATTCATCTTGAACTCTGTCACGGAAATTATGTATAAACCCTAATCAAACAATTTAATAATCAATTTACAATGAATTTATACCTTTATACAGTCTATGATTTATGCCCGTGTTATACATTATGCTGTACGCCATGGATGAGCGCTTTGTAAAAATGAACGGATTGATTATTCAGCTGCAGGCGCCATCTTCTGGCGACATGCGGGAATTCATTCGGCGCGTGACTCTCACGGTGCATTATGGGCATTCTCTAGCCGT